CAGGGAAGCGTGGCCAGATACGACAAAGCCATTTTCCCTGGATAGGCACTCACAGACTACGTTCTTTCACAAAGCCTGTGCTTGTGGCCTTCTTGCATCTGCTCTGGGTGAATATCCCAGCAAATGAGCCTCTAATGTTTATGGGAACACCAGGTTACAATGCAAATGTCGCAAAACTGCTCAGAGAAATAAAAATTTGAATTTGTAATCGGTTCTGCTGCCACTGAAAATTGGATTCTGCCTTTTACGCTCAGCTGATCAGGAAAGAGAAAAAACATATTGTACGACCTACATCTTCAAGTGAATGTAAATAGCAGGGCCTGTGGTTGGGGTATTAAGGCCTCGTGAGGAGCTTGCTCATAAGCTACAGACTACGGATCTTGTTGCAGACATTATCATGGGAATACTGCAATCAAACAACCTTTAATTCGCCTGGAGCACCTTCTGACCCTCTGGCTGGTCAAACTGCCCAGAAAGCTTCTTTGCACCATTGCAACAGCAGGAAGACGCCCCAGCAGGTGCCAGGATCTGGCCATGCCTCTTTCCAGAGGAGCTCCATGCATGTCCAAGTGGACCAGCCCAAGCATGAGCAGTGCTGTTCATCTGCATAGAGACCCTGACCAATCCCAACCCTCCTCACTCCCAAACCTGAGAAACAATCTTGAAACTGATCCTCACTGAAAGCAAAACCAGAATCCAGAGAGTTTACAGTGGCTGTCTATGATCCATCCAGCCCCAGACCACTCACCCAGAGTATTGAGGATGCTGCAGTCCTGCCCTGAGCACCCCACACATGGCAGGGGCAGCTGGACTGGGTACAGCATGCTATGCCTGGTGCTGCTAAAAGGCAGCAGGCTCAGCCATAGCTGAGCCCTACCGCTCTGTACCTATCCGTATTTTGGAAATGGCATGTAGCTACCAGCGATGGGGAACCCACAGTGCCAGCTAACTGGTCCAAACAGCTTGGAAGCTCAACCACTGTTTCTCACAGCCAGCCCCCCAACTGGGATCTATAAGAGCAGGTAAAGGAAGCACGTTGTCCCAGAAAACCCATGTTTCTCTAAACTCTCAGTACCTGCAACTTTCAATACTGAAAATAACATTCCCTAAGGAAGGCACCTCTGCACCAGCAAAGGCTAGTACTGGCTCCCACAGACACAGCAGCAACCGCCCTTGTCTCCCTTCTCCTCCCAGCCACAAGAGAAAACTAAAGCAAATTAAATTATCCCTCTGAAGTGGTGACGGCAGCCAGAGCAGAGTGCTCTGTGAATGCCTGTGGAGTGGGCACGGGCTGGCTCTCATGGTTTGCTACTGGGAAATTACATTTTGCAGAGAGCCTGATAACAGGCTTTAGCTACAGCAGCTATCCCCTTACCCACTGCGCCCCGGTCACAGCTTTGAGCTCGCGTTCACTGCGTATGGAGGCGTAAATCAATACACATCACTATGTGCTCCCTGCCAGCCAGGTTACACAATTATCTCTCAGACCATATTCATTTACCACTTAAATATCACACAGAGTGCTTTTACAGACTGGTGCAAAACCAGCTGGTCAGCGCAAGACCCTTGCTGCCTTCAGGGGCTTGGAATGGGGAACAGGCAGGAAATCTGATCTCTTATCTCCCTCCTTTTCTGAAAGGCTTTTTTCCTCCCTTTTATTTTTTTTCCCCTTTTAATTACATATCCCAAAGGAGCACAGCTAAATCTATAGAACTCCAGGGACTTGGTGTTCACAGCACACCAACCAAATCCACTTACAGCTCACAGAGAGGAGCAATGAAGATGCCCAAGACAGGAAAACCCTGCAGCCTATCAGTCTTTTGATAGCAGTGTGGAGGTACTGGAGGTAATCTTCCTTGTCCCTGTGCTGCAAGGGCAGGAAGCATCCTTCCTGCACCACCCACAGCCACCTGTAATCATATCAAAGGTAAACAGCAGCATCTTACACCTCTCTGCATTGGCATGACTGCACAGAGAGCTGGGCTTCTGCCCCCCAGGAGCCACAAATAGGTACTGTGAAATTTGAGGCAGGTTTGCAAGCAACATCATACTTTTGTGCAAATAACCATCCTCAGCATCTTTTTCCCTCGCTCCTAAATTTGCTTCTTTCTCATACAGAAATTTTCAAAAATAAAGTTATAAAAATACATAAATAAACACAGATGATTCTGCCCTTTCATGGGGGCTGAAAAGTTCCTTCTAGCAGCCAGCCTAAACCCCTGTTGCAAGCTAAGCTGATTTCTTCTCAGGTGATTTCACACCTTGTTCCCAGGGCTCCCACCAGGGAAGCTGAAAAGAAAGGCAGCTGGCGCAAGAGAGAGAGAGAGGACAGAAGGACAGACACAGATGACAGAAAAGCAGATCAGCTTCTCAGGGCAAGCTCACTGCTGGTGGCCCCATGGTGTGCTGGGCAGCATGGCAGGGCACCAGTGCTGGTCAGAAGTAAAGAGAAAAAAGACACTTCAGGAAGAGGGGGAGAACCCAGCCCAAGTGCCTTCATCAGGGGTTTGGTGCCACTTCCATACCACCGTGGAGTCACTGGAATTATTCCCATGTTACAGATGGGAAATCTGAAGTAAGGAGACCTGCAGGAGGACAAAGCTAGTAACCAAACCCCCACCCAACCCAGGCTGGCAGCAGACGATGCCCTTCAGCTTGCCCAGTGCCCATGTAAAATAGCTGCCAGGAGGGATTCCATGGAGAGGTTTGATGATGCTTTAACTTTACTGTCACCATTCTTGCTTTCTACTTCACCTATTTTTTTTCCCCTCTATTCCTCTCCCCGGGTTCAGCCTGTACTTTAAGGAACATGCGAGAGCCATCTGTCCTCCTTTCTTCACCAGACAAGCCCACAGTGGCTTTGGCAGGGAGGGGCAGCAGATGTGGTTTGAGGAGCAGGCAGGCCGGGAAGGCAATGAGGCTCCTCAGGGCAGCCCGCCTTCCGCCCCGCTCCCTCACCCCATGCTTTGTGAGAGACTCAAATGTCCCATTTCTATACCCCCTGCCTCACCATCTGCTCACTAAGCCTGCCTGAGAAAGGGCTTTTGTTGTCTAACCCCAGACTAATTTCAAACAGAGGTATAATCTTCATTTCCACGTAGTGCTGGGGCAATGGGCTCACAAGAAATGCTTCCTTCCCCCACCTCTTCCCACCCTGCTTCAAGCAAGTGCTTTCAAAGGTGAAAAGCATCTCAGAGGGGCAGGAGTGGTGATGAGACAAATGGATTTCTCGAGCGTCTGCAGCTCAACCTGAGACGGATTCAGGAGATCCCATCAGCCTGCTCCCCTAACGCTAAACAATTCCCTTGACTGACAAGCATAGAGCTGTAGCTAACAGCCAGTGAATTGCGGCTGTCAGGACCCAGTGTAATTCATGATGCTGTTTGCCAGGGAGCGAGCTACTGCTGGGCTATTTATCACTCCATGATGCATCCCCCATTCCTTCTGGATAGGGCTGACATAATTCACGAGCACCTGTAGCTGCTGAGCACAGGCTGCACTGAGCAAAGCCTCCTCCACTGAACTGGTTGTCCAGGCACTGGTAGCCAGACAAATGGCTTTTCCAGCATGTGGACAGATAGTTCTAGCTTTTCAGACTCTTAACAAAGGAAATGCATTCCTCCGCTGACTCTCAGGAGTCATCAAGGTCACAGGAAAAGATGCCAGATCGAAAGCTGAGATGAAATTAAATAGTTTTTTTTGTCCACTGAGGAATTTGCACAGCTCTCAACAAGTAATAGGCAAGCACTTTGGTGGCAAGTTGCAGATTTTATCTTCACAAGGTTGATAGCAGGTAAAACAGCATTATTCTCTCCCGGTTTGGAGGGCAAACTGACACTTGGAGTGGCACAATGAAATGTCTGAGCTGGGAACAGACCCAAAGCTCCTTCATTTTGGTGCAGTATCCTAGTCGCCAGGTTGCTCTCACACAAACACTGTTCATTAGGAGCTTTCTAGTCCACTGCAGGGTACATTCCAGTTGACATCCTCAGCTATACTTCTGGTCCAGTGTGGATACATCTTACAAAGGCACATCCTGGGTTTCTGAAGAAAACTAAAATGTTATAAATGTAGTTTTGTCATGTTTCCTGAAACCGTACAGTTCCATGAAAGTAAACTTAACCCAGAGTACCAAAGCATGATATTCTTTCCACATCAGAAATTAAAAGACAAAATTTGACAGTCAAGCCCAGGCAAGCAAACAAATCCTAAAACTTATTTAAAACCTACACAGGACTAATTTGGTGTATTGGATTTCCTTATACCACCTGCAGACACCCAGTGTTTTCCAAACTCATTGAGAATTCACCATCCTTAGAGCTATGTGTCTTCTTTGGCGAGCAAGTGAACCAGTTTACTGGCTGACACTTGAAATGAGCCCTGCTTATTCTGGGAAAAAAACATGGTTTGTCCTGTGCTGAAACCAAATTCAGCATCATTCATAAAGCACCAAACTACTCATCGCTCCTGATAACGACACTGTAAATGTGGCATGCAAGGAAAAATGTTACTTCACACATGACTAATCTGATAATCTGTAGACGATGCAGAGACAAAGAGTATTTATAGAGAGATGATGGTATCTGTCCTCACACCTGCATATGGGACAGCATCTAAGGTGAGATGAGGGCATGTCTGTAGATGAGCAGTAGACAACTCAGGAAGATCACCTACAAAAGCCAGCAGTTTCCCACCTGGAAAGCATTTTGGTGGGTGACCGCATGTTGGCTGTACTCTGGTACCCACCAGCACCTTCCTCATGCTCTTCTATGAAGTTTCCACTGCTGACCTTCGAATCAGTTTCCCACCCACGATTACCATTCCAAACCTTCACCCAGCAAAGTGTCTGCCTATACCATGATGGGCTGGGCAAGGTTTAAAATGGAGAGGGATGCTCAGCAAACCTTGGTCGTGAGGCAGTGGAGAGTGAGTGGGATACCACTCACCCTTCACCGCCGGGACCAAATCCCATCCCATCCCTATCCCTATGAGCCACTCACCCGGGCTGCCGGCGTGTCCCGCGGCGGGAGGCGAGGAAGAGCTGCCGAGGCGGCTTCGGGACGGAGGAGGAGGTGGAAGACGCCGTGGGGAAGCGAGGGGCAGCGACCCGGTCGGCAGGACCGGCCCCAGCCCCAGCAGCAGCAGCAGGGTGCAGGCTGCCGGCATGGCGCTGGGGGTGGATTGGAGGGGAAAGGGGGGTGGTTGTTCACATGCCCGGACCGGGGCAATGAATAACCACGTAAATAGGGATTTTTAACTAATTCACCGTGCCCCCCCCGCCCCGGGGCGGCGCAGAGGGCAGCCGCCCCGGCCTTAAAAGTGTGGGGTGCCCATAACGGAGGGGGCAAGGGGGGGCCCGGCCAGCAGCGGCGGCAGCCTGCAGCCAAGTGCCGGCGCCCGAAAGTAAAAGGGCAGGCGGCGGAGGCTCCTCCTCGAGCCTGACATCACCCAGCCGCGGCTCGGCTCGGCACGGCACGGCCCGGCTCCGTACGGCCCCCCCCCGTCGGCCCCCCCTTCCCGCCCCGCGCAGCCGTCGGGCCGCCCGCTCCCTCACCCTGCTGCGCGCAGCAGCAGCATCGTTACCGTTAGTTAAATTATTTTTACTTTTACTTTATTTTTCCCGGTCCTCCCCCGCCGCCCCTACCCGCAAACCGCCGAGGAGCTGCCCTAGCGCACAGCGTTATCGCTACCGAACTTAAATGCCGACAGCGCGGAAATCCTGCGCCCCGCGCAGCGGCCCAGCCGGACTGCGGCCCCCCGCTCCCGCACGGCCGCTCCCCGCGCATCGCCCCGCGGCAGCAGCTGCTGCACTAAGGCGTTTCGCTCTCCAGGGCACCGCTCCCCTGTTCTTTTTCCAGGCCCCAGGGGCGCTGGAGGTCAGGGGGTGCCGACGGAAACAACCCAGCCCGGCTGCAAGAAGGGCGTCCCAAACACTGCCTGGCCGGGTCCCGCACAGGGCTGCGGGGAAACGGGCTCTGTTACGCTCCCGCAATCGTTTTAGAGCTTTGGGGAACGAAACCCGTGATCGATCGATTGCATCTTGTGTCACGTCTCTCTCTGCTACCAATACAGTTTCTAAAGCAGATGAAAACCTGACTGGGTGTGCAGTGCTCCACACAACTGAGAAGTTTCTTTCCAGATGAGTGTGGTGAGCATTGGATAGCCCCAAACTGAATTCCCATCGATACCGAGTCCTTGCCAGATTCCTTAAAATCTCTCGTTGGTTACAAAGCTAACCTGCTCTCTTTTAAATGCCAGCAGCTGAGTTTGAGGCTGCAGCTTCTTGTCGTGGTGAATTTCCCAGGCTGGGCTGTATCCCAGGCAAAGGATTTCCCTTCATTGTTCTGAAATTCCCTCTCATAATTTCATGCTCCTGATTCTGCAAGAGACCACACCACGGAGCAGCAGGTTGGGCCTCACTGAGGCTGCTGGCATCACAATATGCCAGGTTTAGGGTCCCGGCCGAGCAAACCCTCCTCAGGGAACATAAACCCATCCTCTCCTGAGGCTCTCCTGGGCCCTTTGCTTCTCCTTTGAGCTGTTTCAGACTTAGGCTTCACTTCCACAAGCAAAGAAGAATCTGACCTTTCAGAGGGGTGTGACAAGTGATGCTACACTACATCCAGATAGCTGCGCCAAGGGCAAAAGCTGGTCTGCAGACCCACTCCCCGTTTTTCCCTTCAAACACAATGTCCATGGCCGATAAACACACTCGCCTGAAAGCCTCTTTCCACCCAAAAGGTGGCACTGTTGAGCCCACACCAGCATATTAATGACCTCGGCTTTACCCAGACACAAGACCTGGTATCCCCTGGACCATATGAAATGGCTCCATATCCCCTTTCTCTCAACATGCAGGTACTTTCTGCACCATCCCACACAGCTTTGCCATGACGCACACTTGGAGAGCTTCACTCTGATGCTTTCATAAACATAGATAAAAGCCCTGGAAAAGGGCTTTCCTCCCGTCGAGGCATTCCTCTATCCACCCATTCTCTGCCCTACTTCCTGTAACCTTTTGGCATCTTCTTGCTTCAGATTTGCTTAAACTCAAGGAACAAGTCAAGCTAGTGTCAGCTTGGGACATGAAGCACCAACAGAGCCCAATGACACGTTTACTGTGCAAGTAAGCATCCCAGTCCTGACAAAGGGGGTGACCTGAGTGGCCCAGAAGGCACAAGCAGTTACCACCAAGATGCGTGATCCATGCAGGGCATCTTTAGGCTCCTTCAGCCTATGTCAATGTACTTATCCATTCTGTACGGAATAGGTTGTGTGAAAAAAAAAGCTTCCTCAATGATAAAATGGTGAGACCAATACACAACCAAGTAGCATGCCACAGGACTGAGTTGAAGCTCAGGTGAAGAGCTGTGAAGTATTTTGATACTTTAGGAGATGGCACAGGATGTGTAGAGCAGCAGTTTGGGGATGTCATTATATGTGAAATGCAGGACTCTATGTTACTGATTCCTAATAATAAGTTTTGCCAGTAAAAACAATGATTCTTCAAAAGTTTTGTTAGCCCTTAGAACAAAAGCCTTGCCAGCAAGCAAACCCAACTCCTTCCTACACTCTTTGAGACAGGCGAGGCAGCAGGGGCAGAGAAACCCCAGCAGGGCTGCATGGGACAAATCAAAACCAAACCCAGCCCTGACATTGAATGGGTGCTCTCGTGTCCACTCACTCTCAAGCCTGAGAGTCTAACACCAAGCCTAAAGGTCTCATCCCTCCCTGTTCCCCTTTCCCGAGAGATTCCCCCAACACCTAAGCCACATAGAAGCTCCCCACTCTTACTGCATCCTCCTAAACTGTAAATCCAACCAGAATGAAGCACAGTATTGAATGCTTTTCAAAAAAAAAAGTGACAACAAATTATTTCTACTGTTTTACTCAACAGGTGCATTGAGAGCAATACCAGAAGCAGGCAAGTACAAAACAAACACTGCTGAAAGAACAATCAGTGTCCATATTCATAGAATCATAGAATAGTTAGGGTTGGAAAGGACCTTAAGATCATCAAGTTCCAACCCCCCTGCCATGGGCAGGGACAACTCACACTAAACCATCTCACCCAAGGCCTTGTCCAACCTGGCCTTGAACATTGCCAGGAATGGAGCATTCACAACCTCCCTTGGCAACCCATTCCAGTGCCTCACCACCCTAACAGGAAAGAATTTTCTCCTTACATCCAATTTAAACTTCCCCTGTTTAAGTTTTAACCCATTACCCCTTGTCCTATCACTACAGTCCTTAATGAAGAGTCCATCCCCAGCATCCCTATAGGCCCCCTTCAGATACTGGAAGGCTGCTATGAAGTCTCCACACAGCCTTCTCCAGGCTCAACAGCCCGAACCTTCTCAGCCTGTCTTCATATGGAAGGTGCTCCAGTCCCCTGATCATCTTTGTGGCCCTCCTCTGGACTTGCTCCAACAGATCCATGTCCTTTTTATGTTGAGGACACCAGAACTGCACACAATACTCCAAGTGAGGTCTCACAGGAGCAGAGCAGGGCAGGATCACCTCCTTCGACCTGCTGGTCACACTCCTTTTGATGCAGCCCAGGATATGGTTGGCTTTCTGGGCTGCAAGCACATACTCCCGGCTCATTGACCAACACCCCCAACTCCTTCTCCACAGGGCTGCTCTGAATCTCTTCTTTGCCCAACCTGTAGCTGTGCCTGGGATTGCTTCGACCTTATTAAATGGCTCCATATCTCCATGCCCCTATGGTGCACCTGCTGCATGACCCACCATACCGTGCCGCTGGCTATAAGAGTGGTGAAGACCCAGATTAACCCCCTCTGGGTAAAGAGGAACTAACACCTTCTCCCAGATTGCCATTAAACCTGCCAGAGCAGCTGTAACACTGCATTTCTGAATCAAACAAGGCATTTGGTGACCACAACAGGGGTGACCACAAGGAGCAAATGCCCATACACACAGCCAGCACTGGGAAATACTGATCAAAGGGCCCTGTGCTGCCCTTGAACCAGATGCATCCCACCATAATACAGGTGGGAAGACACCACCGGGCTGGCCGGTGGGGCTGGGGACTGCCCATTGCAGCCTGTGACACACATGCCTTTGTCAGCCTCAGCAAAAGCCCCACAGTGTGAACCTATGCACTTAGACCAGTATTTATCATCAGACAAAAAAAATCTCTCACCTCTCCATCATGATTCCATTAACGAGAAACACATTATTCACAAACACCTTGAAAGGAAACACCAACAATCAGCCAGTTTTGGACTTCCCAAATGCAATTCCTTCTCCACCAAGGTGCCTAATTTGCCAAGGTTTAGTGCCTGTGAATGTAAAGGTACTGTGTTTTTTTCCTGCCATGTTATTTTATTCCTACCTTCACCACTTCATAATGAATATCTCTGCACTGAAGAAGTCAATTTACAACCGGTACATTTGAGCTCCAGCAGCCACATGAAAATGCGGGGAAAACCATCACAGGATGAAGGTGGCTATGGGGAGCACAAGCACTCAGCGAAGCCCACCGGCACTTGGCTTTTCCCCATGTGGTGCTGGAGTTGTTTATCCCTGTGGCATGACTTCACGCTTCACTGCCACATCCTACTAATACTGGTTACAGGGCAGGTCTGGGAAGAGGGCTGCTCCCCTCCCTCTCTGAGAGCACGAAACTAATGGGAGATTTAAATGCATGAAACTGTGCCTGAGGAGTCGGATGGGCCAGGCAAAGCCTGATATAAAATAATGCCACAGCATCCTCCTGATAGAGGCTGTGACCTCGAATGTCTCCCTGAATTATATACAAAGTGCATTTAACTCTTCCACCTGAAAGCAACCAGCACATTTCACACACAAAGGAGTTAAAAGCGAGCAAACAAACAAAACCCTCATCAGCATAGGAAGCCTCTAACATAACTATATAAAACAAGATTGATATTGCACACTGATTAATTGAAACCCAACCTTGTTTGGGGGGAGGAAAAACAGTGGGTTTTTTATTTCATTCGATTTTCCACATTGAGGGGCTAGAAATGTGAATAAGTTTGCCCAGCTCTGCATTGTTTTGGGCTGAAATCACCAAACCCACAGGAGTCTGTACAGAAGAGGCATCTCTACAGCACTTTGTCAGGATTACATTGACCGGTCCCTTCCCTCTGGTTCTATAGGAGCCTTTCGCTGCCCTGGCCAATGTCGCTAAACTCCTGCAGCTCCCTTGAAACTCAGCCCAGATCTGTCCAAAACTTGGATTCGGCTCATAAACTTCAGACAAGTTTTAAGCTGATGATGAATTAAGGTACAAAGTGAATATTTTCTGCTCCTGGAATTTGTTATTAAAAGTCCTGAGTTTCCGAAGTGGACAGATCGTTCCCAAGTAATTAATTACCTTCCCCATCTCCTCTCGATGCTGTAAGCCATCCACTAATGGATCCCAATCATCCAAAAGACACTTAGC